CTCTCATGTACAGGTGTGCAGGTGTGGTGTACTGCTCTCAGGTACAGGTGGGCACATGTGCAGGTGCAGCATACCTTTCTCAGGTACAGGTGGGTATATGTGCAGGTGTGGCATATCTTTCTCAGGTACTGGTGTGCAGATGTGGTGTACCTCTCTAATGTGCAGGTGTGGTGTACCTTTCTCAGGTACAGGTGAGTAAACATGCAAGTGTGGCATACCTCTCTAATGGACAAGTGTGCAGGTGTGGTGTACCTCTCTCCGATACAGGTGAGTAAACATGCAGGTGTGGCATGACTCTCTTATGTACAGATATGCAGGTGTGGTGTATGTCTCTCATGTACAGGTGTGCAGGTGTGGCATACCTCTCTCATGTACAGCTGTGCAGGTGTGGTGTACCTCTCTCAGGTACAGGTGGGTAAATGTGGAGGTGTGGCATGCCTCTCTCAGGTACAGGTTGGTTAATGTGCACATATGGCATTCCCTTCTCATGTACAGGTGTGCAGGTGTGGTGTACCTCTCTCAGGTACATGTGAGTAAACGTGCAGGTGTGGCATACCTCTCTCAGGTACAGGTTGGTAAATGTGCACATATGGCATTCCCCTCTCATATACAGGTGTGCAGGTGTGGTGTACCGCTCTCATGTACAGGTGTGCAGGTGTGGTGTACCTCTCTTTTGTACACATGTGCAAGTGTGCCGTACCTCTCTCATTGAGTGTAAGGCAGGCATCATCATAGCTGCAGTCCCTCTGTTTGGTGCAGCTCGATGTGTAGTCCTTACAGCTGTAGCAGCGAATGGCTGATCCTGAAAAGACACACACCTGACTTTAAAGGTGTGTTCTCACCTTTTGGTTATCTGACTGAACCATGTTTGTGTGTGTGTGTGTGTTTGAACAGGTGTAATCTCTGAATATTCAATTCAATTCAGTTTATTATATAGCACCAATTCACAACAAAGTTGTCTCAGGGCACTTTACAGGAACATTCAAGTACATAGAAAAGACAATTAGTGAAGTTCTCTATCTAAGGAAACAGCAGACAAGTTGAATTTTCACTTCCTCACAGTCTCCCATCCTGAACAAGCACAGTGGCAACAGCAGAAAAACATCTCCCTTTTAACAGGAAGAAATCTTTAGCAGAACCAGCTCAGGACAAGTGGCCATCTGCTTTGACCGGCTTGTTGGAGAGGACCGAAAGAAGAGACAAACGAACACAGAATGGTAGGTCCAGATATATGTGTAGGGGAAGGACAAAAAACAACATGTTAGGGTAGAAAAATAATTACAAATACAAAACAGGTTGAGCAGAGTAAGTAAAGTCAGTAGCAGAGTGAAAAGTGTGGTCAGTTTGTCCTCCAGCAGTCTAAGCCTATAGCAGCATAACTATAGCTCAGGAAACCCAAGCCAACCCCAACGATAGGATTTATCAGCAAGTACATATTGATAATGTTGGTAAGGACCAATCACAGTGAGATTTTCTGAACAGGTGAACCAGGTGGGTCTCAGTCTGTTTCTCACAGGTAGTCTGAGCTGCCATTTGTCTTACTTAGGCAGGTCCTGGTCTTGTTGTGAGACGTCTTCAGTTTTTTTCTTTGTTGTCACCCTCTACATTTGTAGGAGAGAACAAATCTGAGCTGTGCACACAAACCAAACCAGGAGACACCAGAAAGACCAGACAGGAAGAGTAATGGTGTAGAACAGAAGCACAGACAGACAGAAGATAAAAACCCAAAAGTTCTGTTGTTTGTCACCTTCACAGGCACAGGAGAACCACACGGACTGCAGTCCTGGCATTAACAACTGTTGCCTGGAAAGGTTTCTAGAATGTTCACAAGATAATACTGAGAAGCTCCTAAAATGCTCCTGGAATTATAGGACTTTTTCTGAAAGTTTCCTGGAATAATAAAGTCCATTCTCAATAATCCAGGTATACAATCCCTGGAATAGTTCCCGGAATAATTAAAAAAATGATCCCCAAAAATATTTGGACCTTCAGTGGAATTTTTCCTAAGATGTCCCTGAGAAGTTGCTTGATGTCCAGACATTTTTTTAAATGTTAATGAAATATTTCTGAAATGTCCCTAAAATGTGGAAATATTCTGAAGATGTTTGAGATGTATCAGAATTTTTCTGAAATGCTGTTGGAATATTCCTGAAACATTCCTGGAATGTTTCTGAGATGTTTTGAAAGATCAGGAAACAGCTGTTTGATGAAAACCAGTGGAGGACTAGTAACAGAAACCTATATGGCAGAAGCAACTGGGTCTGGACATCAACTGGAACCAGATCCAGATTGTTCTGGAGAGCCACAGAGAAGCAACAAGGTTCTTATGAACTCTGACTCTGAGAAGATCAGAGATTGTAACTGATTGTTTTCTGGAACAGAACTCAAGCTGGTTCTGGAGTCCGATCCTCAGAACTGAGATACTCCCCCTACAGGTCAGAGCCGTTACTGCTAGTAGAAGTTCAATTCATTCAACCTTTGTTTATACAGGTTAGTCTCATTGAGTCACTTCAAGCTTCAGACTTTCACTTTTTCTATTAAAATCATCATCTGTCATAGTTGGAATGTGGTTTTAAAAACAAACAAATCCACAAGTTCAAACTTCTCACAGTAAGAACCAGTAAAAATAATGTCATTTTACATACCAAATCCGATCATAGAGGAACCAATCAGCAGGCAGACCACCAGGGAGCACTTCATTTTTATTTCAGTGCAGCTCACAGACTCATCTGCAGTCAGACAGAAACACACAATTAGTGCTGACTGTGACCTCTGACCCTAACCCAGCTGCACTTTAAACCATGCTGTAGAGTTCAAACGTTCCCTAACCCTCAGTACATGCAATCTGAGTACTGAGTGTGTATTCTGAGTGTACTCACCAAGCAGCAGCTGTGTCTTAGCTGATCTGTCACAGATGAAGATGAGGAGTACAAACTGAGCCACGGCCTGAAGGCTGAATGAAGCTTAAAGCCCCGCCCACTGGGAGGAGGCTGTGTTAGAAAAGCTGCCATTGTTTCTGATTCTCCTCCTGACAGAACATGACAGAACAGTCAGACACAGTCACAGTCAGAGCATGGCTTCAGCAACAGGTGAGGAGATTATTAGGTAACACCAGGAGCTTGATGCAGAGAGATCAGAGGTCAGACCAGAACCAGACAGCAGACTCATCTGGACCTAAGAGCTGCAGATGTTTAGTGTTGTGTTGAAACTTAACAGCCAACTCAGCTAAAAACAAGTTTAAATTAGATCTTTAGTGTTGTTGTTCCCAGCAGCCCATCACAGAGAAACAGCTTCAGCTTAGCAGAAACCATTGGTTCTTTACCGACAACAAACTCTTGAGAGACTGGGAAGCTCAGTCCTCACCTCCTTCTACTGGTGTGCAGTGGAGAGCATCCTGTGCTCCAGCATCAATGTGTGGCATGGAGGCTGCACAGCTGCAGAAAGAAAAGCTTTGCAGAGAGTGGTGAAGGCTGCACAAAAGTCTATTTGAGTCAGCCTCCCTACCATCACAGACATCTACACCTCCAGAAGCAGGAAGAGGACCACCTGCATCTTGATGCTATCCATAAACTACAGGACTGTTTCCACCACACAACCTGGGATACATTTAAATATCAGAGCATACCCGCATGTAAGTCCTTGGATGAAAACACTAACGGTGTTGAACTACCATCATCGTATGTGTGGATTGTGTAACATCCTGGAAACAGGTCTGTATTTTACCCAATCAAAAGCCCTGGATGACAAGGTACTGCAACTACTTAGAGCTAGGGATGCAGCATTTAGAAAAGTGGACTCTCAGACTTATAGCATGACCAGGACTGCTCTAAGGAAAGGTATCATTGCTGCCAAATTAATTCTAAGCAATTGCAGGATGGTTTAAACAACTTAAACCCAAGGCAGGTGTGGGAGAATGTCAAGGTCATTACGGACTATAAAAAAAGAGCAGCATCTACCCCAGTAAATAGTAGTGCCACCTTAGATGAGGAATTAAATTATTTTTATGCCCGCTTTGACAGGGAAAACACAGATCTTCCCTTGTCTCCCTGCCACTCTAGGGACACTTCCAGTTCTGAGTATGCACCAAGTGAGAATCACTCTTCAAAACATCAACCCCAGGAAGGCACCTGGACCAGATAGGGTGGGTGCTGAGACACTGTGCGGATGAGCTGATAGAGGTTTACTTCAATCTACAATATGTCATTGTCCACTTCGTGTGTGCCAGCCTGCTTTAAAGCAACTGTAATAGTCCCCATCCCCAAACAGTCTAATGTTACTTCCCTGAATGTCTATAGACTTGTGACACTCACCACACCAGCTAAATGCCTGGAGAGACTAATCATGAAATACTTAAAGAAACCTATACCACCAACACTGGACGCTTATCATTTTGCATATAGGGAGAACAGATCGACAGAAGATACCATTGCTATTGTGTTTCACAAACTTCTGGAACATTTAAAGCTCAAGAACAAATATACAAGGCTGCTCTTTGTCGATTTAAGTTAAACTTTTAATACCATACGGCTGAACAAACTCCTACCAAAGTTTCACGATCTTAGACTGAACAACGCTCTATGCAGTTGGATCTTGGACTTTTTAATTAAAGGCAAACAGTGTGAGAGTGGGCGAGCACACTTCCTCCACTCTTTCCATAAGCACAGGGGTCCCACAAGGCTGCGTGCTCAGCCCAGCGCTTCATACTTTCCTCACTCATGACTGCACGGCCTCTTCACCATCAAATCTCATTGTAAAATATGCTGATGACATCACATTGTTGGGGCTCATCAATGACAACGACGAGATAGCATATAGGACTGAAGTACAACAATTAGTATCTATCAGGTTTTTATCAATGTCGACCCCCAAGTGAGCAGACCGATTCAATAAAGACAAAGTCAGAACTACAAAAGGCAAGTGAACTTTATTTACAGGTGATCATGTCGTCGCAGCTGTAAGGGAGAAGAGGAATAGGTGAGTATGCGTTCTGGTTGTCTCTTAGAATGTTTCAATTCTTGAAGATAGAGAAATTACTCCTTACTGTTTGTGTTGCAGGTGGAGGCCGAGAAGGAGAGGAGAGGTCCTGGGTTTTTGCAGGAGATCCAGTCCTGAGGTACTTGGCAGTGGAGAGAGGAGCAGGTTGACCCAGTTGAGAATGCTTAATGGTGGTTGTTGAAGGGACACCGTTGATCCACAGGTGGAGTCCAGTGGAGCGATGAGATCCTAGGGAGGATCTGAAGAGGCAGGCCATGGAAGGTCCTGGAAGAGTCACAGTTGGTGAGAACCAGCTGTAACAAAGGTTAGTCGGCTGTACACGAGTTACCATTTGGTAGATGATGTCCCAGCACTGAAGAGGTGTCTGGCAGGTGCTTAAATACCCCATCAGGCAGTCCTCCTCAGAGCAGCAGCAGGTGGAGTGAGTTGAGGTTAATTGGCTGTGAAAGGAAGAGTGAGTGACAGGCAGAAAACCCAGGAATCCTACAGTATCATGGTGTCACAACCACCACTTGCTTCTTAACATAAAGAAAACCAAAGGTAATTATTGCAGATTTTCTCAAACAAAACAAAACATCCACTCTCTACTTTAAATCAGAAACAAAGCGGTTGAGAGGGTCACAAAATTCAATCTTCTGGGCATGATAGCAACAGAGAGCCTGACCTGAGGTACTAACAGCGCCTCAGCCATCGGAAACGCCTAGTAGCATCTTTCCATTCTGAGAAAACTGAAATGGGCCCAAATTCCTCAGCAGCTTATGATCAACTTCTATAACTGTGCTATTGGAAGTGTATTAACCTATGGATTCCTAGTGTGGTTCTCCAGCTGCACTAAGGCGGACCAGCAGGCTCTCCAGTGGGTCGTTAAAACAGCTGGGAAGATCATCGGGATTACCCTCCGGGAGATCAGAACTATCTATACAACCCACTGTCTGAGATGAGCCAACAACATCCTGCGGGACAAGTACCATCCTTCACATGACCTATTCCATCTGTTACTCTCAGGCAGAAGGTACCGGTCTATAGGTGCCAGGACCACCAGAATGGCTCACAGTCTGTACCCACAGGCTGTGAGACTGTTAAACTAACAGCATCTCTCTGAGACCACGCCCATTATCCTTGCATCTCAAATCTCATCATGACAATAACTGTGAAATGGATATTGCAATGCTGCGGCAACCAACTACTATCCCTTCAACATCTGGCTGTTTACAGTTCTCCTTTCTTCTATCCTGTCCTCAGATGCTGTATTATCTGTGTTTACACAAAGTTTGTTTTCTCAGTCATCCAGGTATAAAACAACAAAAAAAGGTTGAATCATGTCATCTGGACTTCGTTTTTTGTTAAAAAGAAACGTTTGAAACCATTAGTGAAAAGGCCAGACTTCAGGGGTATCTGAGGCAGGCTTGAAACACAAGAGTCAGGGTGGCTTCTGGGTAATACCAGATGGCTAGGCCTCAGACTGACGAAGCCTCTTGGATGAGGGGCGAAACGTTTCTTTTTAACAAAAAACGAAGTCCAGAAGACATGATTCAACCTTTTTTTGTTGTTTTATACCTGGATGACTGAGAAAACAAACTTTGTGTTTTTGAAACCATTAGTGAAAAGGCCAGACTTCAGGGGTATCTGAGGCAGGCTTGAAACACAAGAGTCAGGGTGGCTTCTGGGTAATACCAGATGGCTAGGCCTCAGACTGACGAAGCCTCTTGGATGAGGGGCGAAACGTTTCTTTTTAACAAAAAACGAAGTCCAGATGACATGATTCAACCTTTTTTTGTTATCTGTGTTTACATTGACCATGCAAAGTCCTTTTCACCCCAATATTGTTATGATTCGGACTACCCAGTAGGAACGAGAACCAGAACGACAAGAGTCTCAAGTAAGCAAAACAGTGTTTATTATTTACAGTGAATGAGACGACAGGTATTTACAAAAGTTGGCCTGGGACTCCTGAAAAAGGGAGAGACAAGGTCAGGTCTAGGAGTCGAGAGGAGGCAGCTCCAAAACGATGTAATAAATAGTTGTGTCTCTCCTTACAGATAAATCCTTGTGGGGTGACGTTGTGGGGGAAAATCCCAAGGCAGGCAAGTGGTTGGAGGGCAAAGGCAACAGAGGCGAGACTCCGACACAGGAAGAACCAAGGGCAGGATCTGAGATGACCAGAAAACTGTAGACACAAAGAACACGGTAAGAAATCCTCTTCATATACTCAAAATACTGGCTAGAGGCACAACTACCAGGAAGGAAGTAATGCTCCAGCGACGAGAAGAGCTTGACTGCAGCTTTATGTAATGGAGGAGCTCGTCAGGTGGATGGTCGTCAGCTGTGGATGATTGGCGGCCATCTTGGGGCTGCAGCAAGTCCAACTCTTACAAATATGTGCTAATTTATTAATGTGTAGGTGTATGATACTCCATCAAAATTTTGTTGCTATTCATAACTATTCTTATTATGACATCCATCCATCCATCCATTATCTTTTACCTGCTTCTTCCATTTTGGGTCATGGGGGTCGCAGATGCCCATGTCCAGCAATCACTGTGCAAGGAGTGGGGTACACCCTGGATGGGTCGCAAGTCCATCGCAGGGACACATAGAGACAAATAAGACAAACAACCATTCACTCTCTCATTCACACCTAGGGACAATTTAGAGTTACCAATCAGCCTAACATGCATGTTTTTGGTCTGTGGGAGGAAACCGGAGTACCTGGAGAAAACCTATGCATGCACGAAGAGAACATACAAACTCTACCCAGAAGGGCCCCTGGACCGGGATTTGAACCAAGGACCTGCTCGCTGAGAGGCAGCAGCTCTACCAGTTGTGCCACCGTGCTGCCCCTTATTATGACACTGACATTAAACTAAAGTAAGGACCCCACTCACCCAGCACACACACTTTTTGTCCTGCTCCCCTC